GATGTGCCCTGCGTGGGACAGACACGCGCGGTCCAGCCCGTCCTGCTGCCTCTTGGTGAAGGTGTTTGGGCTTCCAGGGGCCGTTTGAACCGTCCTCCACTGGCTCCCGTGGGCCGCAGATGTCAGCACTCCACTCGCCAGTTCCCAGCATCTCCCCTGCAACTGAAAGGCCATTTTTCATAAACGTGCTTTGTTTAAAGAGTGACTCTTTGCAAGGAATTTTTTAACTGATTTCCTATGCTCTATTTATTTTTTTCCCCCCAAAAAATTGAAGAAACATGGGTTTTGTAGCAAAAGGCACCTTTTTAAAAACGAAAACCAAACAAATGTGCAAGTGTGTGGCAGCTTGGTTGGGGCTGTGGGCAGCTACACCCACAACACTGCTGCAGCTCCAGCTGGTCCCTGTGTGCTCCTGCAGTCCCGGCCACCCCAGCTCCGCTCCCTCCCTCACCAAACTGGATCATAACCCTTCCCCGTGTCTCCCAAACCATGTTTCTGGCTCTTCCTGGCTCTCCGTAGCAGCCAGGTTTTATCCTGCAATATATAAACTCTGCAGGAGGGAACTGTGGAGGAGGACGCGTGCTGCCTCCTGGGAATGGCAGAGCGGTTGCGGCTGGGCAGCCGGTGAGGCGAGACCCTGGGATTTACTGACCCCGCTGGTACAAGGATCCATTTTCACTATTTCGCTCTGCTCCACAGCTCCCGGACAGTTCAACTGCTGCTGCCGGGGGACACGGCTGCTCTGGATTTGCACAGGGAGTGGGGAACGTGCACCCAGGTGAGATTTTCAGGAGAAACGGAAGGGGAAATAAGGATGAGATTTGCACACTTGACACCCAGTGATACCTTTGAACTGTCTGCATCCTGAAAGAGAAGAGTCCTTGCATCCGAGTCCTTGCATCCAGGGCATGTATCTTCCTTCCTCCCCTCCTAGGACTGGGTACTGCTTGAAAATGAATCCACGGACCCCCTGCCCTGAAACGTGTCCCCAGGAGCGGTCACCGTCCTCAGCTTCGTGGGGTTTGACCAGAGGTTTCCCAGATGAAGCCCTTTCCCAGATCTCGGGATCCTTCCCAGCGTGTGCCTGGCTTTAAGTGACCCAATAATACAACATCTAAAATCTAGCCTTGTGTCCAAATCCTGCACTGGATCGAGGCTTCTGGCACAGCTTGGTCCTGAGCCCACTGAAGATATGAAAGGCGTTCCCGTGACTTCGAGGGCTTTGCTTCCAGTCTCACCCTTTGCTAAAATTTGGAATCACAGTCACTATTTCCAACATTTTTGGTTTTTTTACCTTGTAAAACAGACTTTATTTTTCTCCTTGTAAATTTTGTGCAATATACATCTATATACCTATAGAATACACCTCAATAAAAAGTTTTTCGTCCATACATTATATTACTTTTTCTTTTATGTCATGAAAAATTCAGACAATGCTTTTGTCCTTAAATAAACATTTCTCCCTCCCCTGCCCTCCCTTCCTAGCTGACTGGTCCAAAAGAGGAAATTTCATTTAGTTATTTTCTTTTCTTTAAAAAAATAGAAATTACAATCTTACAAGACAGAACATTCAATGAGAACAGAAGCATGTTCCTAAATCTAAAAAGTAAAACATTTCCATAAAACCTGCTGGTATCTACAGGTAGGTGTGTGTGAAGGGTGGTAAATGGAAAAAAAATGTTTTCCATTTCTTCCTTTCATTCATATAGATAAAAAATAACATAAAACCAACTGAAAGTTTATATATTTTTCTCTTTTGCACCAACATTCACAAGAATATATATTATATATATATTTTATCCATTTTTATACACAGTGTGAGGGTTCTGGAGGTGGAAATGCACACTCAGCTAAACTGCCAGAGCAAAAAACCACACAAAATTTATCTTCATCTGAAAAAAGCAATCCCTCGCAGCTGAGGTCACCCCACTCACGGGAACTGTTGTCGAGGTCTGTTTGAAAATAAAGCGTCAAAACGTCTTGTGGCCGGTGGGATGGAAACGTCTCCGAGATGCTGAGGATCGAGCATCAAGGTGAGTCAGGGGTCTTGGGGCTCCCGTGCATCATCTCCGCTGGCCACACGCAGCTCCGGCGCAGGGGAGAGCGGAAATCTTCCTTTTTCAGGCATTTCTACCCGGGCTTTTCCGTTCACCCTTTTCCTACGAGCTCGATGCCTGGCTCAGGCGAGCCACTGCTCTTGGTGGCACAGAGGGAGTGCGAGGGACCTTGGCACAGCCACCACGGCCCCGTGCGTTCAGGCGAACCAAAAGCAGAGGCTGCAGCCAACGGTGCCACAGGGGTTCGGCACACCCCTGCCATCCCTTTCGATGCATGCTGCTTGTCCCAGGCAAGAAATCATTTAATTGACGTTAAATCATTTATCCCCTCCCAAGAAAACATTTAATCAACAAGTCGGTTCTTTTAAAGAGAACTTAAAAGTGCAGGTTCCTGCAGTTTGGCAGGTTCAGTTACATGTATTTAATACTTCCAGTCTTCCCTAGATTCCCACGGGGCCTTTTATTGCTCAGAATCCAAAATCTCTCCCATGAGATGGACGCTGTGTCGTAAGCCCGAAAAATGCAACCGGTAGCGAGGGCTCAGTCTTTTCCCAGTTTAAGGTGCTTTCTTGGTTTCTTTGCCGGATGAAATGAAAACGATGACGTTGATCATTGATGCACGTTGACTGACGAATACCGAGGACATAAAGAAGGGTGTGTGCTTTTTTTCCCCCCGAACATTTCAAAACACCCACGGCTGTTTCCTTCAAGGAAGGGAGTGCTGCTATCCTGCAGAAATGGAGGGCAAGAGCCCCTTCCGCAAAGCACATTCATTTTCTCGAGTGCTTTTCTCTGCAGAGAGGAGCCGGGCAGTGAACGGTGCTGTCAGAAATGATTCTTCAAAAAAAGGCACAACCCTTTAGATGAAAAAGGCAGTACTGACTTCTCACTTCTCACGAGCTTTAGGATCCGAGAGGGCAGGAAACAAGCACGGCGCATCCCTGCCCCGGCGAACGCTGTGCTGGAGAACGACGCATTGGCACTCAACATCCGTGGGGAGGGTCAGCAGCCTTCACCGGAGACCTGGACTCTAACGCCGTCGGGAGAGAAACAAGGCTGATGAACTCCGATATTCTCCGAGAAGCAGTTCAGATGGTGGTTAGCAAAACCAGAAAGCGCATGGCTGTACACAGCGCACGGCAGCTATCGCGGAATAGCACAGTCCCTAATTTTTCTCTGCCTTCTACTGAAGCAGAAATCCTATCGGCTTCCTGGTGACTCTTCCCTGATCGAGGCTGGTCCACGGTCTTCCCTAGGAGGTCTTTTAACCAAAAGCATGAATATCCCCTCCCATCACTAAGAAAGCTGCTCGTTTAGTTTAAGGGGTACAATTATGGAATTGAAGGTCTTCGGCTTACACTCAGGGATGATCCAAGCTGCCAGAGGATGGGGTTGGACGCACGAGAAATCAATACGAAGCAAGAAGGGGCTTGGGATTTTATCCCTTTCTCAGCAGAAACTGGGGCTGCCTTGGAGCAGGTTTTTCCCTTGTAGCTTTTGGCATTTGCTGCAGGAGAAGCACGAATAGGGACGGAAAAGCCATCTGCAGAGCTTGGCCAGAGAGTCCCTCAAGTGGCCCCACCGGCTCCGGGCTATCGCAGCATCATCCCACAAATCCACCCCTTCTCCTTTTGAGCCTCCCGAGCTCGGAGCAGCAGGTCCCAACCACACCACGACTTCCCAGGGAGGGAATAAGGACCTTTCACTTCCCTTTGACCCCAACAAGCAGTTTCTCTCCCTAAAAAGTGTCCAGGTCCTGCTAAATAGAGAACAAACCCCAAAATAATAGTTCTAAAGAGCTCCTTTAGGGGAGTTGGGTCCAACTCAACCTGCAACAGCAGCCACGGCCATGCTCCTGGTGGTCCTGGTGTGGGAAGGGGGGACTCGGCAGCAGGACCAGCTTGGGCTGCACAGAGGAAAGGCCAGAAAAAACCTCCTCTGGGTGTTGAGCCACGGGACAGTTTTAAAGGTCTCGATAAGAAAACTACACACGACATCCAGCACGCCATGAGCCACTGCTTGCGGGGACAGCCCCGGTGCCTGCCCCAATGCCTGCAGCTGCCTCTGGGGTAGAGCAGCCGGGAGCTGGGATTTGGCCACAGTCACAAGGGCGAAGCCCCTCTTTGAGAAGCGCTCGGATACGGAGAGGTGGCACAAGGCGGGCGGACCTGCTGAATTGGCTCCAAAAAGCCAGGCGGTCGGCCAGTCAGACGGGGAGTTGGACGGGAATTTGGGAAAATGCCATGACAGAGGGCACGGAGACCCTGCAAAGCTTCTCCCCTGCTGCGTTGGGCATCCTTTCCCTCAAATCAGCCTCCTCCACAGGAATATCCTGTGCTGAATCCTGCCACAGCCAGGTCTTTCTTGGCTGAGCTCCTGAGGTCACCCATGCCCCATGGGAGAAGGAATAAAGCAAAGGCTCTGCCTTTGCCCTCTCCTTGGCTCCAGTCGGGACCCCAAAGCTGCCCCCACCGGCCTGGCTCACCCTTGTCTGGCCAAGTCTGCATTGCCCCTTCTTTATCCCATGCCTTGTGTTTGGGTTAAAGAAAAAAAAAAAAAAAATCAGAGATGGAGAGTGCAGCCAGGACAGAGGGAGGGGCTGTGCTGCGAGCGCAGTGGCATGTGCGTGGCGTGCGCTCCCCTGGATCCGTGCACTGCGGGGAGGAGTCGGTCCCTTACCACTGCCAGGAGCATCTCCTCTCCCGAGCGGAGATTTCACATTCATTTCACTGGTATGGCAAAGTTCATTTGCTTTTTCCTTCAAGGTGCTTTACATTCAAGAGCTATTGCAATCCACAGCGAGGAAATGGGGCCGGGGAGATACCCCAGACCCCCTGGTTCTCTTGAGTGATTATTTGATTTAAATAAAACTGCCCCAAACTTCTGAAGTTTTGTTCGTCTCCAAATTTTGGGGAACTCGAAGGGGGCCAGCAGCTCCCAGCCTTAGCTCTCCCGTGGGTTGCTGTACTGAAGCTCTGAGTTGAAAACCTCCTTATAGAGGGGTGGGAAGTTCATGGCGGTCTCTGGGTGCAGGAGACGGAAAAATTCCAGCTTGTCCAAGTGCAGGTTGCAAATGGTCTTCATCAAGGGCAGCTTGGAAACCATCTGCGGGGAAAGAAGCCGGAGCTGGTGACCACTGGGCTCCTGGTCAGCATCCCGCCATGCCACTCTTCCCCCGCCCCTGGGGACAAGCGGGTGGGGTTGGGGACCGCTGGCTCTGCCCAGCACCGGGGGCACCAGCGGACGCCCCCCACCTTCGGGCAGCCTGGCCTTGCCTCCAAACCCACACCTTTCCACAGGACAACCAGCGCCCGGGGTGGCTCAAGGAGCCCCTCAATGCCCCACCTCCCCGTCTCAGGCTCTGTCCTGCCCAAAGCATTCCCAAAACGGCTCCTTTTGCTCCAAACACCCACTGCCTGATGCGCTGCCAGGTTCAGCA